GTTGAACACAGGGGGAGACTTTAATTATATGAGGAGGCCTTATTGGGGCTTTTTATTTTCTTTTGCATGTGAGGCATTTAATTGTCAATGTGGGAAGATTTGGAACTAGGAGCTACATAAACCGGCTTGTCATAATTTTTAAAGCTTTTTTTTATATGACAAATAGCAGTGTAAAATTTTATTTGCATTATTTTGCACATAATCCCTCCCTTAAATAATGTGGCAAATATTTTTGAGATATTTCTATGTTGTTAAGTGAGAAGTGATTTATGTTTTGGTTGGTTACTTGTACACAATAACATCCAGCTATAGCACACAGTGTTGTTGGGTTGGTTTGTGGAAACATTTACAAATAAACATTATCAGTTATTATTACCTCTACCAAGGAGATTATGGGCATGTTTTAATTCAAAAGAACATGAATGTTGTTGAGAAGAACACAGGAAAGTGTGGACTCGGGGAGAACGGGAGCATAAATATGAGTCTATGTTTGTTGGTTTGTTGCTTTGTTAGCAGGTTTACCTGAGAAGTTGAGAAGGGATTTTTTACCAGAGGTGTGCCACATGCCAAGAAGCAGTCCATTCAAATTTGGTTATGATCCAGATAATTCCAAGTTTTATCTATAGGTGTAAGTATTAGTATGGGACCAAATGTGCTGTTTAGTGCAGGTCTGTGCTTTCCTGAGTGCTTTCTTAGTCGTTTTAATATGTTCATTCGGTTTATACTGCAACAGATGCTTTCTTAACCACTAAATTGTTCATTTGAAGCTGTTTACTGGTAACTTCATAAATCCTTTCACAAAGATATAACCTGGCAAGCAAGATTATAAAGTGCCTAACACTCCTGTTTAAAACGAAAATTTCAAATCGCAGAGGAACTTTAACAAGAGAAAGACCTTCAATTTCTCACAGCAGCCCTTTAGGTAATAAACTTAAGGGGTATTTGCCTGCACATAGAAACATAGAGAGAGTTGCAGCAAGCATTCAGATCCATGCATGCAAATACAGTCCTGCAACAATGGACTCTAAACAAGCAAGCTTTAAACTTCCTAAAACAGAAATCCTTAAATAAATAGAATAGAATAGAATAGAATAGAATAGAATAGAATAGAATAGAATAGAATAGAATACAACTTTATTGTCATTGCACTGTCACAAGTACAAGGCAATGAAATGTGGTTTTTGCATCTATCCAGAAGTGCTATACAGGATATACATATTATTACAGGTGTATATACAACTAAAAAGTAGTAGTTAGGGACAGTAAAAAGTTGTGTATAAATATAAATATGAATATGGGAGCTACATGCACAGATTATACAGATTGTACAGAATATAAAGGAATGTTAGGAAAAGGATTATATATGAATTAGCGGGTTCAGGAGTGTGACAGTTGTTTAGCCTTACTATTTAGCGTTATTCTTAATTAATCTGGAACGATAGAATCTCTTCTGGAAAAGGAGGGACATTCAGCAGAACCTTTTTAAGCTTAATGGACAAAGTCACACCTAAAGCCCGCCTATCATCATGGTTAGAAATTTAAGAGCAGTAGAAGTCATGAGAAACCATAACTTATGCTTGAATGCTCTTGTTGTTTCAATGATGCAATGTAAAAAAAATTCTGACAAAACTAATGTGATAGAAGCAGGTGTCCATACATCCTCCTGTGCTGCCATGTTTCTTTTGGTTTAACGGTGGGCTGGGCAGCTCATGCTTTAGTCACAGATGCATGTCCCGCCTAAAACTGCCACATGATTGGCCAACCTGTTTTGTGCGAGCAGTACAAGATGGATTCTCGAGTGTTTGCATAAATACCATGAGAACTCAGCTTGCAGTAAAGACTCATAAAGATATATTCTTTGTCTAAAGCAACTAGGGCTGCAACCAATAAATATTTTGCAAATAGATTAATCAGTTGGTTATTTTTTCGATTTATAATCGGATAGCAACAGGTTCCTAAAAGAAGACTTTATATGAAATTAAACCAGGTGAAACTAAAACTTTTCTGCTTAAAGAGTTCAGATGAGATTAATGTTTTTTTTCTTAAATGCAAAATGTTTACTTTTTTTTTTACAATTTTGTTATAATTTCTGTGTAAGCTGGGTTTCTCTGTCAACTAAAAACACAGATTACAGTCTATATACTCCAGTTAAAAAAGAATTGATTACTAAATTAATGGACGATTATTTCAATAATAGAATAATTACAATTAATCTGATTAATTGTTTCAGCTCTAGTAGCAGCCAGATCTACAGCAAAGCAACCAAGACATGGGTGAGAAAAAACAAAGAAGCTACAAAGAATCTTCAGAGTGGCAAGAAGAAAGTCTTTGTTAAAAAGAAAGTCACAAGAGCTCCAGTTGGTAGTTTGCCACAAGTCATATGGGGTCACACTACAAACATGTGATAGAAGGTTCCCTGGTGAGATACCATGTGCTTCATGTGCAAGAACCCAGTCTTAGCACAACACCCTGGATACACCATTAAAATGTATATTCAAACAATGATCTTATGTGCGATCCTGTTTTATCAAAACCCAACATTTACTGAGCTTTGATCATTTTCTACTTTTTTTTTTATTTTGTGATGGCGATATCTAAGTACATTATCCAGGGCTGCCAACTTTTCACCAAGAGATTTTGAAATAGTTTGGACAGGAAACCCTGTCAGGGTGAGATTAGGACAGGTATCGGCTGGAGGTTTTCAGAGGATTTAACTGAAACAAAGTGGCAAAATGTGGAATTTTTGTAAAACAGTAACAATAAGTGATCTCTAGTTATGTGAAACAATTTTCTCACAATATACATTATTTTCTACATTCTGTTGATTTTTAGAAAATTAAACTAAAGATCTAAGAATTAAACTAAGAATTTCACAACTTTGTTCATTAATTATTCTCTGCAGTTCAAGTAAATTAAACAATGGGGAACTAATAAGTTATCACTGGATTACTGGCACTGGATTCAGGAACCAGTGCAATCGAAACCTATGCAAACTACAGACTGTATGAATATTTGGTAATAGGCTAAGGATCAAAAAGCTTCATTCAATATGTTATTAACTTTTCTTACAATTGACAAAACGGCTAAACAATTCAGACCTTCTAGGAGGCTGTAGGTTTTATAAAAACTCACCATGACAGGAGACAGCACTTCTCTGGAGGTTTCAGTTTGGAAGGTGTGATGGAAATTAAGTTTTTAAACATATTCAATGGACCAAAATAAAGATAAATGAATATGATAATAAAAGCTGAACATCCCTGTGGTTTCTCCTCTATGAATCCAGGATCACCGAGTTGTTCTGCACATCCTCTCTGAATGTGGTTGATCTTTTATTGGGTGGCTGATCTTTTAAAAAATAAAATGCAATGGTTCTTTTTCTTATTTTGGAGTGTTTGAGAGGTAAACTTGGAAGCTTTAAGAATTAAAATATTTGTGTTGTTTTAATTACCCCTAAATCCCAATGGGAGATAATTAAACTAGACTGAGTTGAGTTTTAATGTCATTTTCTAGTGTGAGAAATTGGGAATATGGAGTGAGAGTGTGTGAAGACACTGAGATGGGTGAGTCTCACTCCCAATGGGTGACAGTTGACCACCCTGCATTATAAGTTTTGTTCCTGATGGATTCATCATTAACATATAGGCCAATGTGAGAGCAAGAGCTTTGGGAGCTGCAGAATCGAAAGGTGCATAATGACCCTGGGTCAATCATCGCTCTAAGTGAAAGGATCACAGTTATGGAAAGCTTTACCAAACGATCAATGCCAGACATGAGGCTTAGTGGAATTAGTAAGGGAGTAAAAATGCTAATTAAAGGGCTGAATCCATTAAATTTCTACTGAATTTCATGTTATTCTACATTTCAGTAAGAAAACCACACCACTGATTTTTTATTTTTATTTTTTTTAGGTATAATTGACTATTCAGCTGAATTGTCTGCTATTCCTCAATTCAGAGAAAAAGCAGAAGAAACAAAAGGAAAATCACTGACTCACTGATAGCAGAGGTGATGACGCAAAAGAAACGTAACCTCACCCAGAGGTAACCCTGATGGGAGCCGAATAACACCCACTGTCCACGCTGACCATTTTCACACTTTATTAAATCACCAAATCGGGTTATTCTGCAATTTTTAATTCAAAACCTTTTGGATTAAATGGGGGGACAATCACCAATTTAATAAATGGATACAAATGTTTAAACAGCCAACACAACAATAACTCTCATAACATCCAATGTACGCCGATGAAAGGAGGAAAGTCTATGCTTTAAGCTTTCACTTTCATCGAGATGCATTTCTATGATTTTATGCATGAAAATTATAAAATTTCGCTTCTTCTAATGAAGTCTGGTAGACATGGATGCTGTCCTGTTGGGAAGCTTCTGTAGCTCAGGATGCTGAGGTTTTTCTTCCAACAGGACAGACAGTAAGGAACACATCAGGTTCCACGCTGCAACACGGGACACGCACGTTTTCCACTCATTAATAACCCAGTCAAGGACATGACATCGATACTATAGCCTCAAGTTACCCACGCTGAACCAATTTACAGCCGGAACAAAGAGGCGTTCAGGTACATAATAAAAGACGGATATTTCTACTACTTACGTCTGTATGTAAAACGTATATATAGAATTCTTATATAGGCCTATAAGAAATATTAACACGTAATTACTTTAATTGAAAACCGTATATCAAGTGAGATATACGTTTAATTTCATAAAATAGAATTAAAATCACAGTATTTTATTTTGAAAATACTAATCGGAAGTTTAGTGATTCTCCTTATTGTATTTTAATCCTACCTGGATAATAATATAAAAAAAATGGCTTGACCTTTTTGTGCTGCAAATACAGATATATTGGAGTGTTAAAATATGTAATGAATAATAGGCTAATAAATATAACATCAGGCTGAGGCATGCATGAAAGCAATGCTGTGCAACAATAACAGATAATAATTTCCCCATGAATTCCTCTTATTTCTGAACCCTGCTTACCTTTAGCCTCACAGTCTGCACAGTACTTGTTGTTCTCCTCTTTCAGCAGTTTGGTGAGAATAGCCTGATGCTGCTCGTTCAGTTTCTGGGCTTTTTCTCTCTCTGACCGGGTCGTCATCTTGTTTTCTGTGTGGGGTGCTGTTAGGACGTGGGTCCTGTTGAATGAAGAGCCAGGGAATCTTGGGTGCGCGTTAACAAGGGAGGGACATTTCCAAGATGAAGCCGCGCCGCTCCACCACTCTGAGCTGTCAATCCACTAACAGCTGCAGCTTGGATGTTGAGGCACCATCCGTGCTGCTTTCAAGACCGTGGGAATTTCTATAACGCTTTTCTTTTTTTTTTCCAGGATGACTTTGCTACGGAGCCCGTAAAGGGACATTGGAAAAAAAAAAAGTATTTTGCGCACCAGATTCTGTCTCGCGCACATTAGATAATTAATGGTATTTTTCAGTATAGGCCTATGTCGTACTAGCTGCAGTCAGGGGCGAAGATAGATGGGGGGCCTGGGGTGGCCATGGACGACCTTAACCAATCATTGGTCACCCCTACCATTTTTTCCCTCTAACATAGATGGTGGCAGCAGTAATACTCTGAAGGAGAAATGTTCAAACTTATCAAACGTTTACATTTTTCATATATTAACAACTAATTGACAACAGACACACTGTGGTTAATTATGCTGGTGAAGATTCTCAGTCATCCAGGTCATAGTCATTACGTTCAAAATGTCTGAATTCAGACATTTTGAATTGAGGAAGCTTCCTGGAGGGAAAGCGAAACGTCTTCAAACCTTGGAAACAAAGTCCAGTGGTTTGTTTTTTAAACTTTTACAGAATGTGGTTAATTTTGCACATAAGTATACAAACATTAAAGATGATAGATACAGAATTGGTGCTCTTTTCAGAACTAAATGTGAATTATTTGGGGTAAAGATAAAATTATGTGCCTCTGCAGGTCATCTAAGAGTCTTCAGTGAAATCTTAGATAAATATCTACTTAACTTAAAAATTCATTAAATGTGGATATTAGTAGATTTAAATATATTTTTTTGCAGAATGATTATTGATAAAAGTTCAATGACAATGTAAAATATGTTCGCCCCAGAACTCAAACCTGAAAGAATTTTGTCCAATATCCTATTTATTTACACAGCATAGATTTTTTACATATATGCGTATATTTGTTTGCAAAAGCGGCAGGTAAGGATAGTTTGTCTTTATTTAGAAAATATGGAGGTTGTGCTCGTTCCTGTTGGAACAGTGTAGATTGACCCTGAGGTTCTGGTGCCTTTCAACCACCCCTCAATGTACATTGGTTATTGCCTGGCCCCCTATTAGGATTTTCTGGCTATGCCTCTGGCTACACAAAGGAAGATATGAGACTTAATTTACCTATATTTTCAATTTGGATTGACATTCAGTCGGTTGAGGATTGTTATTTCAGAAAGACTCTTCAGACGCATCTTGAAGTTTTGTAGTTCTCTGCGAAAGGGATGCACCAAGGTTGAACAAGTTATAACATTCATCCGTGAAAAGATACAGAGGTGTGGTCACCTCGATGCAAATTGATGGATGTTCATAAAAGCCTTGGAAAAAGACCAGAAATAATACACCGGTCGATATTAAAAGAACATAATCCAAGAGGTGTGGAACTGCTATTTTATCAAGAGGCCAAACAACATCTGGCATTTAGACCGTATGACAAATTAAAGCTGGTAGTTGCATATCTGCATGGGTGGATTTTTTTTAGGAGAATCATATGGATCAATCATGCATTAATGACCAGCAGTCTTTAACCGATTTTTTTCTCTATCTCTCTTTTCTTTTCTTCTTTGGTTATTTTTTTTGTTAATAAAACATTTATTGGGCTCACTGTAAACACAATCATTAGCTGTCCAACA